AATTTTTTTTTTTCCTGCTGCTGCATGTCAGGGTTTTTTGAAGCCTTCCTCAAAAGCCTTCAAGAATTTTGACTGGAGCATGCCAATGCTCCTGCTGGGCCTTACACCTGGATGTTCCTGGCAGGAGGGTCAGACTGATCACCATATTTGAGACACAAGTCACATGAGGAGAGGCTGGAGGAATGAATTTTCCTCCATGGGCAGATTGGTATGAACTGCGAAGGTTTTCACCTTCCTCTGTAGCAGAGGACGTGGCCTTCATCCTTGCATCTCTCGTGTGGTTTTTTTTAACAAACTTTGCAGCAGCAGGACACTGGTCACCATAGTCCCCCACTTTACCTGTGGCAGATCCATGAGTTCTCTCTTTCAGCTGCATCAGGGTTAACTGAGTAGTTTTACTATTTTGATTAGACAATGAATTTGTATAGGATGATTTGAATAGGGATGATCCTGCCTCAGGCAGGCGGTTGGACTGTATGCCCTCTGGACGTCCCTTCCAACCCTGCTTTTCTATGATTCTTTAAGAAACCAGCATTTTGAAAGACCATGATCTCTTATATAGCCTGACTTTTCCTCTCTAAGTGGTGTCTCTGACTAAGCTGACATGAAACATACTGATAGGTATTTCATCTTAAAAGGAAAACATTAGGCACAGAACCTTTTCACAAAGGAGCTGAGAGCAATACTTAAAGACCATTGTAAAAAGCAGTCATTAAGCAGTGAGTCAATGACATTTTGCACGTCCAACAAATAAATATTAGGATTGTTACCATAAGTAAAATACAACACTATTTACCTGTTTACCTGAAAATGCATGATCCATTTTCATTAGACCTGCTTATCCACCAGTTTAAGAACCCAATAGAGTCTCAGAAAGATGTTTCTGCCAGTACATTCCTGAGAGGAATTTAAAGAGTCTGTGCACACCCTGGATGTAATGAATTCTGCACGGTAACAGTAGATTACACTGTTTTCCTTTAGAAAACGTCATGGTTTAGAACAGGGGTAAGCAATCCCTGGCGCTCATAAACATCTTAGGACAAGTCACAATTAAACATACTACAAGTCACTGCAAAAAATTCAGTGCCTGGGATTTACGCTGGAAGAAAATCTTTCTTGTAAGAATTCTCCCCATCTGGAAAATCCTTCTACTCTCCCAGTAGAAACATATCGCAATCCACCAGTGTGTGAAAGGAAAAGGAGTATTGTTGTAATGTATACGATAATCACAAACAATCTAACTTCTCTATTATATAAATCATTCCCCTTTAGGGATAAGGAGACCATTTTTGGACTCTCTTCTTCACTCACCAGGAAGAGTGGAGTTAATTTCCAAGTGCTACAATTCTAGAGTCAACAACAACCATAATTTCTGTATTACCTCTGTCAGAACACCACAATTATGCAACTATCAGAGAACCGAGACCTTTCTTAGAGGGGGAACCAACTTTCCTCCTCTGCCAAACTAGAATTTTAGGGCTCCAGTCCCCTACAATTTAATGAAAATACTCCTGCTTGCTTCTCTCACAGACCATGATGAAGTTAACCAGTGACCAACCAGGATACTGAGGATAAAGAAAAATGTACCATAAACAGGTTACATGCACGTGACGCTTACCAGCCAGTTTATCTGCCAGGTACCACAAGTTGGTCAGAGGTGTGCGTGTGCATCTGTGTGCACACGTATGTACGTGCACATGCATGCACATTGGACTCCTAGATCAGGGCAGCCACTCAGGTTGAGGGCCTGTCTAACTAGGCCTCCTGAATCACGTAAAACCAGTCAGTACTACTCCCCTCAAGGGCTGGGTATCTTGCAACCACAGCATTGGTATGCCTGCTAATTACCTTCCAGAGACATCAAATTCCACAACCTCACTCTTTTAGCCAGGGCCATAAATATACTTCTAAAATATTAATAGCCTTGATAACAGTCTTTTCAACTCCTCCATATATGATTGACTATATCCAGAATCATATCTGTTACACACCCCCCACAAAAAACCGCACTGTATCTTAGAAATCCACTGGAGGTCAGAGATACTAGTACAGAGGGGATGTAGGCTCCTATAAGTAGTCATGCTTCTATCAGCTTTCTAACCCCTGGATCATTTACAGTCTACAGTGGGAGACCTTAAGCTTGCTTGATCACCAGGGATCCTGGTTTTCTCTGATTAAAATGCCTAATTTTCGGTTTAAAAAAAATAAGCAACCTAAAATCCACATTCTTCCATGATTAAAATGAATTAAAATTCAACATACCTTGGTTCAGTGGCAAGCAGCCCTCCCCCCAATTCAAAGCAGCAAAAGTTGAACATGGGGAACAACCATTCAAAAGCTCTGCCAACTGGTTTCCATGGGACTGACAATTAGAAGTGGTCACCAAACAGCTTGTCCTCATATAGCAATCATACTGTTTCATCAGCAGACTTGAGTAGTATTCCATTACTGAACATTAATGGACCTACATTTTAGAAGCACCCACTGGAAGAAAAGCACTTTAGAACCAAAGAACCAATCACAATGCTCCCATATTTCAGAGGGGCTCTACCAAGAGGAAGAAATTATATATGAAGCTCACATTGGTGATTTGCTGGTAAGCACCAAAATAAAGTAATACTCATTTCTATGCATTAGACAAAGAACAATATCAAGTTTTTGCTTATATCACTTCACTGTGCTGCTTAAGGAGCAAAAGTGGAAGACAGAAAGTTCCTGCACTTAGCACCAAGGAACAGACACAAATTCTGACATGAAAACCTCAGAATTTTCACCAAGGAAAGTAAAGGAAGTAAATGGGTCCTGCTACTGGAAAGGAGATCTGGTAACAATAGAAAGTACTCCTTGAGCCCCTGTCTATGTTAGTCTGAAACAGTGTCATATGTTTGGGACTCTGAAAATAATCTTTGGGTACATTTTTTTTAAAAAACAACACAGAAAGAATTCATTTATTTTTTTAAACAACAAGTTAAGAGCATGCTTCAATTGGTCCAGTGATAATGTAACTGGTCTTTCAAGTAAACAAGGAAAGAGTAAACAAGCTTAAGAAATACATAAGGACTGGATTTTATCAATATGCTTTCACAGCTCCAACTTCTTGTTGGAACTCATTTTTTTTTAAGGAGCATGACAGAAGACTCAGACTTCATATTCTTACACAGTCTCTTCACAGCAGTACCAGAGTGCCTAATGCTGCTGGTCTTGGTCCATAAGAAGTGTATTTCACACCTAAGAAGTACATTCACATGCAAATCTCAGAAATTGTAAGGTCCATACATGAGGTGCTATGCAATTCAAAGTAAGGAACAAGTATTTCTCAATGTGGTTCTTTTACTCTATTTAAATCAGTTCCATTCTTTTGATCCACTAATCAAAAGGCAGCAATCCACAGCTTTGCTTATGAACTACAGAATAGCAGAAGCAACCAGAACAACTGAAGACATGTAGCAACAGTATAGGAAGACATGTCTATACCAAGGAAAAATAACCAAAAAATCTGAGGCAACAAAAAAAGAAAAAAGTAGAGAGGAACTATGTTTAAATGTGTTCACAGAATACCACGTAGAAGTAGTGATGTGTGTCATTTTTCTAATCAGTCCTTTTCGTAAGTAAAGAAAGGATAACAGATTTTTACCTGCTAGTACAATATTGCCAAACCCACACATTCAAAAGTCATGTAATTCTATATCCTGTAGCTACTGCTTCTATTTTAAAATTATAGCAATTAATGTACTTTATTATTTTCATCTGACACTGGAAAAGTCCAATACAACATCATGATGAGAATATAAGCTCCTTTCAACCATCAGTATTCTAAAGCAAAAGTCATGTCAATTCTAAGCACTTTTGAAAAATGCTACCTGCAACTTCTAACGTGATTTATTCTACATAATATTGTTATCTGCTGCAATGTAACTATACTTAATTTATGCAGAAGATGCCAAAAATGCAGTGGATTTTTCACCCATTAAATAATTTATTTTCTCTATGAAAAACAAGAACATTCTTTAGCCACTCTAAGTAAAGACATTTGTATTGGATTTCCATTTTCCCCCATGCTGCACTAATCAAAATGATGATATCCACTGCTTTTGCACTGCTTAAATATTTATGTAACTCTTTCCATGCAGAAAATCGTTTGATAAAAATGTCACACCAGCCCACAGGCTGGAAAAGGTCATACCTTCTCATCCTGATGTATTTTTTTGGCATTTTCCATCTGAAAATTGTGCAAGGACTGGATTTTATCAATCTGCTCCCGCTGCTTCTCAAGTTCTCCTTGGAATTCATTCTTTTTGAGTTCAACAGCTCCCCTCTCTGCAGCTGCTCTACGGACTCGCCCCTCCAGTTCCATAATCCGATTCTGAGAGGAAGCAAATATACAAATGTATGTGGTTCCCATTAATCAGCACTTATGAAGAGGATTTATGTGTATGATCCAACTTTAATCTTGTAGAAACAGAAACTGATTCCCCATACAATATTTTTAATCTAGCTTTGTCCTCACAAGCTACTTAATATTACATTCTTTAAATGCTTGTCTTTCATCTCAAAGTACTTTACAAACTAATATTCCAATTACTCCACTAGTGAAATCCACTAGCTGCCTAGCTATACAAACCAACCTTATAGAAGAGGGTAGAGTAAGAATCAAAATACCACTATGTACCATGTAACTATCCTGCATTAAGACTCTGAATAGAAGGTTTAAAAATACTATTTGGCTTCAACATCAGAGTTAAACCTCTGTTCTTCCAAAGCGCTCCTAGAGTTTACAGTGACTAAAGAAGTCGGGTTGTATTACAAGCCACATCCAGACCAGTTTTGAGAGCAACAGACCACCCCCACATTTGATCCTAGACTGTCTTAGAGAAAAGAATGCCACCTATCATATAAGCAGAAGCTATCCTGGGAGCACATCAGTACAAATACTGTCCCTGTCTGTCTTTGATTATTTTGTGTGAACAGACGGAAACACAGCAGGTGGCATTTGGTGGCTAGCAAAAAATACTTATTTGTCAAGAACACATATTGATAAATAGGGAGAATTAATCCTTTTTTTGCTTCCTGGACTGCTTGAAGAGATCACATTAAAAACCAGTGGAAGTTTCAGGAAGAGCATTATAATCGCACTTAAGATTTTTTTTTTATTCAGTTTTTACAGGATGCACCAGCAGTACCTCACATGTTCTATTTTTTACTGCCCAGTCAGCATTTACATACTTCCTTCTAATATAATGGCTAGATTCAGTGAAAACTCTTGGGGCGAAATCTGAACAGTCTGTTGTGTCTAGGACTACCCATCCGATTCCAGATTTAACATTTGCTATTTGTTAGAATAGAGCTTGGGTGTATCAAAAAGGTTAGAATCTGCTGAATCTCTAGGGAAGACAATTCAAGCTTTGTTATTTCACAGTTTCATTCTCTGTAGCTTCAGTTTAGCTCCAAAATTGGGACTGCCACAGAAGATAAGAATGGGGAAAAAAATAAAGAAAAGAAAAATGCTAACAGTTTGGTTGAAGGAACAGAAAAAAGGAGAACACTCCTTCCCATCTTAGTCATTATGTCAGCAAAGTCCTGCCAAGCAAATGAGTAAGTAAATATACTGCTTTAAAAGTGTAAGAGTAAATATTCTTTATGTGCAGCCCAACCCTTAAAATATGAATACAGCTACTATATAAACTACTACTAGGAAGTGTATATGGCTTAATGGACGTAAAGGAATTTTAAACTTCTGTCCAAGAAAGGTACTGCATGACTTTGCAATTATTGAACACCAGTACAGCCTTACACATCTAGGTTATGGCATCAAGTGTGACCCAAGATGGTAATGGCCTCTGCCTCATTGTCAGCTGTATAGCCAGTTGTGCAGAATGCCTTTGTGGTCTCAATCCAGGTCTTTAATGAACAGGTCACCACCACTGGGCACCAAAGAGGGGCAAAAATACACCCCTCACAGTCATGATGACCTGAACAAATAAAATGATAAATGCTAATGCTTTTTATTGAGCATTTCATCTGAATTTTGAAGTCTTTTACTGAGCAACAGTAGCAGCATAAAAATTCAGAACTGTTGAGATTAAAAGAACTGACAACAGGCTAGTTAGTGCAAATGCAGAGTTTTTACTTGAGGGGGTTAGACTAGATCAGTGGTTTTCAGCCTGTGGTCTGTGGAGCCCTAGGGTTCTTCAGACTATATCTAAGGGGTCCGTGAAAGACAACTATGATCAATCAAAAGTACATGAATACCCACACTTACAACTGAAAGGGGTCTGCACCTCCATTCAAATTCTTTTAGGTGGCAACAAATTAAAAAAAGGTTGAAAACCACTGAGCTAGATGATCCTAGAGGTCCCTTCCAACCCAATGTTTCCAGGATCTCTCTAATGCAGGGGTGGGCAAAATGTGGCCCGCCAAGCCATTCTATCCAGCCCGTGGGGCCCCTAAAAAATTTAGAAAATTAATATTTATCTGCCCTGGGCTGGCTGTCATGTAGCCCTTGATGGCTTGCCAAAACAGTAAGCGGCCCTCTGCCCAAAATAATTGCCCGCCCCTGCTCTAATGAGATGACTAGGCAAACAGGTTCATAAAGCACGCCAAGTTTCACTCTGCGTTTGGTGTACTTAAAACACAGTTCACAGGAGACAATACAAATAAAGTTTAGGTGCTAATGCTGTATGAAAGTCATGGTATTACCTGCAAGTCAATGCTGCGAGAACTTGCAATCCAATAATTGAAACCCAAAACAACCAGACAAGCCACCAGCGCAGCTACCAGAAGAGGTGGAGACTTCATCCCTCGACGGCCGTTTCCTAGCCCCACCATTTCAAAGAGAAGCTGCAGAAATCTGCAAGTTAAAATAAGCCAGTCACATATCCTTTTGCTTGAACAATTACACAAACACAGCACACTTCTACTAACTCCAAAAAGAGCTGTGATTCTTCAAGAAACAAGTTCAGTTATATAAATTAGTAGGAATTGAAATATACATAGCAAGGAGCGCATTCTCCCTAGGGTTTCTCTCAGAAGGAAAATAAAAACACTGGGCTATTCAATTTTATGCAGTATATCACACCAACCTCAGTCCTTGGGCATCCCATATAGAAATCCTAATGATGTAATAAAAACCTACCAACAACTGCCATGCTGGAACAAGCCCACATTCTACCAAGTCAGGTCTTTTATTGCTGATGGTGGCCAATGCAGGATGCTGACTGAATACTGCTATCTCCTTGAAGCAGGAGGCTGACTTAACTCTCTTTTTTTAAATTTTAACTCTAAGCTAGAGAAACTGTCAATTCTTTCCCTGGTGACACTACTTATTCCAGCAAGAGTCACTGAATAAGACTCAGTTCAACTATTTTAGGAATAATCCTAAATTTAATAGCTGGATAAAGCTCTCATTGACTTCAACAGGAAACTGTAATTAGAAGGCAGAAGGGCTCATATTCACTCTCGAGTTTTCTTGTACTAAGATATCTAGGAACTATGCTGTGCCATATCAGGTAGGAATAGCCTTATTATGGACCACAGAATAATTTTAAGAAAACCAGGTTTAAAAAGCACAATACTTCAGTATTATGTAGAAAAATTAATGCATGAGTGCAAACTCACACACAAAGAATTGTGTCTAAATATACAAGTGCTCTTCATAAGGCAGAGTTAACCATATAGAGCGCGTGTGTGTGTGTGTGTGTGTGTGTGTGTGTGTGTGTGTGTGTGTGTGTGTGTGTGTGTGTGTGTGTGTGTGTGTGTGTGTGTGTGTGTGTGTG